AAAAAAAAAAAAAAAAAAGAGGAAGCGTAAAGTCATTACCCTTTCGCTTTCATAAATGTCGCGGAAACGCTCGAACTGGTTCCTCGTGGCCTCCTCGTCCGGAAGTTGTCCAAGGTCGTGGAGTTCGAGCGGCGCGTGGTAGCCGCGCGACAGCAGGTCAGTCACCCAGTGGAAGGTGATTCTGCTGAGGAACGGCGAAGCGGCGTGCACGTACGCGCTCCGCGCGTTATCGGGCCTTCCGATGGCGTACTGCCTGCTCCTCTGCATCTAATAGCGTAAAAACACCGAAACGTCATCGCGGATATTTGCGTTAAGAAAACGAACTTGAGTGCGGAGTGAGAAAACGGACGACGCGATGTTTATACGCGGTTCGGTTTCGCGTAGGAGAAAAGTCGAGGGTAGTAAAACTTGCACTGATGTTGTTTGCTCTCGGCAACGAGCCGAGGAAGTCGTAAAAATGCAAAAGCGCAGTGGGAAAGGCATTTATGCATCTCTTCAGTGAGATGGAAAATTCGTCGAACCGGTATTTGCACGAGGGTGCTTCTTCACAAGTACTACCGGAGGCATTTTGAAAAGTTTTAACGACCGGGAAGGATAAAATAGGAACAGAGCCTCTATGTGGAGACAACATGGCCAGACCGTAGTGTTTTAAACCGCAATAGTTCCGCGCAACTTTATTTTTATCATTTAAATTGAAAGTTTAATCTGTTTATTTGAAATATAATTTAATTTTTCAAATAAGTTTAAAGAAATTTCTAAATTGGAAATGAAACGAACATTTTTATCATATTCTGTGCAATATTAATGCGTACTTTCATTAATATTTACTTCATCGAAAAGTTGATTAAAATATTTTGTGTGCGAAATATTCTAATTAACTAAGCTTAATAAATTCTTTCCGTTGATCTCTATTTAAGGAATACGAGTTCTAAAATTGGATTTATACATTATAACAAAATCTGAAAGTTTGCTTCGTCGAGTAGAATCTATTTTTGCAACCGTGCCAGCATATAACCGAACAAAAAGCGCTGTGTTAGCGCTCGATAAGCACGTCTCACCGGTGTATGATAATAACCATTATTGTTCAAACAAACACGTTAAATGTAAAACAAACATTTACGGTAGGAGTAACTGGGCATCGTTGATAAGAACGTAACTTTCTTGCGCTAGTTGTCAGCTTAAGTTACTCTTGTTGTTTATCGCTTAAGCATCTTTCGTGATCGAAATTCACACAGAGTGAGTCATACATTTTGAACAAACTGGGAAGAAGAATAAAAAGTATTATCTTCGAAAAGAAACCTGAAATCGCGAGGCGATCATGTGTCACGAAGCATCAATAGTCAACTTCTATTTTAAATTGAATTTTGGCATGTAAATTACAAAAGAATTTTATGTGAAGGCACGTTATCAATCACAAGCTACATTTGTGAACTAGGAAAAAAAAAAACAATGTCGCAAAATCGGTCTGAGGTTCTATTTCGGTTTACAAATAATTGAACTCACCATACGATAAAGGGTATAAGAATCGATAACAGCCAGCAATCCGCAACAAGTGGCGGCGATCGCCGTTGTCGTGACACGTACGTGCTGAATGGACAGACCGAACCTGAAATACGCCTTGTTGTATTTTCCGAATTACTTTGCGCAAACGCAAAAAGACATACAATGCGAGAGCGTTTTAATGAAATTTGTGAGAAGTTATTTGTGATAACATTTAATAAGTTATTGCCAATAATAATATTTAATATATACAAAATATATAAATAAAATTGCTGGTTTTCGATAAACAACATATTAATCACAAAACACGAAAGTGCACAAAACAATTTGCAAGAGCATATTTTATATTGCAATTATCGATAGCGTACCTGCATAAGTACAAAAGCTTCCATGTTCGTGAGAGGCCAATTATCGTAAATCCACCGCCCGACACGGCGGTACCGAAACCGTCTCTCATCTCGGTTTCGCGATGTAACACCCAACAGGATAGCACAGCAATCACTGTCAAGATCGACGAGAGTGAAACCGACGTCAGTATAGATTCGCATAGTTCCAATGAAAGAGTCGATAGTAGTAACATACAAAGTAAAGTCCTACTCGTGTGAAGTGGCAAGAGCGACTTAGATGACCTATTTAAGTGACAAATAATTTTATGTTAGTCTTTTACTAATCGAGTGCGTCTATTTTGTAATATAAATAGATATTCTTGTTCTTATTGGACAGTAAAATCTAAATTTGACACAAAATTTCGAATTTTAACCGTCGAATCCTTAATTTCTGATTCGTAGTTTGTTATTTTAAAATTATAACAGTCATTATTTGTAATAACTTTAACTGTTACAGTTTTCCTCAAAATTCCACAATTTTCCTCGTTCTATTAACTATTTTAATTTCTCAATAATACTCTTTATATGCTACTCATGAGTTAACTACGATGTTGTTACGCATATAAATGGGGCATAGCCGCTAAGCGGCATATAATGCAATTTATTATTGTTATAGTGATATTGGGTTCTTCAATGAAGCTAATAACTTTAATGAATCATCATTTATAGTCCTATTTATAGATTCAAAGGGCTTACATAGAGCTACACAAAGATTACACATAACTTACATAGCTTACGCATGTATAAAGTAGATTATGATTTTAAAAGAGATTGCTGGCTACTCTTAGTACTTACAAATTTTACGATTCCGTAAATTTTATACTGAAAAAAGGAAAAATAGAAAATCTTATCATATTTAAGTTATACTTAAAATTTTTTTACATTTATGTAATCTTTGCTTTTTTGGAAAAAGTTTTTGTTTCTTTCATATTAAAAATGTCATACAAAAATGAGGAAAAATTTAGTTTTAACATTAAAATCTAATAAATGCTAAAGTTTTAATATTCTTCCTTTAGTTTTGTTTATCTATATATGAACTCTCACATTTAATATGCAAACAGTTTACATCCCGAGTTAATTCAGTATCAATCGTTAACAGTGTCGGTCGAACTTTTTACATAAGTCAAGGTAGCGGAATGTTGGTGGAATATCTCGTTATACGCGACATTTTGTAATCGCGTCAGGTATGCGGGTATATTACGTGTCCGACAGGTAAAGGAGCGTGCGATAAGTAGGGGGTTGGGCTTATGCGCGCGTCTTAACGAACCTGAATGGCCTCTGAGTCATTCCGCTCGCGATTTCCCCGAGCGAGTACATTGCAATCGTGATTAATGACATCACTGGTACCGACTTGTCTCGCATTTGTGGGTGTTCGACGTGTTGCGCAAGTTAAAAAGTACCAAATAAAATATCAGGTGGGCTGAAAACCGCCCCTGATATTTATGAAAATAAGTATGCGCGCGGGTCACCTGATCTATTTTCAGACTTGCTAAGAAAATACATAGCGGGTATTTAATATCTTTACCTCTTTCTTTATCAAGAAAAAATATTTATGGAAAATTTATTGAAGACTTTATTTTTACATTTATTTTTACGTTTATTCTATTTACATGTATAGCCTGTTATTGATTCCGCGAGCCATGTGCATCGGGTTAGCTAATTTGTAGATGTCTGGAACGACAAGCTGGAAACAAGCTCGCCTCTGATGAGTTCGATCGCGAGGTAGAAGTAAGCAATAAGTCTAATAATTTCTGAATTTTACTTTATCTCGCGTACTGCGAAATTACAAGTAAACAGCGAAAATCATACGTTATGTATCTACGATTAGTCAGTGTGTGTTTTCGTTTGCACGTTTCCAGGAAAAAGCAGTAGCTTATTTGAGACGGAAAAGCGAAAACATTTTGCATTTGAAACACCAGACGTTGCAATGAAATAAGGGAACAAAAATAAAAAATTATTTCTTGTTAAAAATAATTAATGTAAATTTCTATTAAATTCAATCGAACAAATTTGATTGATAAAAATAATAATAATAATTTAAGCTTTTCTAGAAATTATTATATTCAAGCGTAGTCGTGTCAAGAGATAATTAAAAAAAGAACTGAACTTCATAATTATTATATAAAGTGATTTATATGATAAATGGCTTCAAGACAATCAAAGTTAGATTAAGATTCCTCGAACGACGGTCGGCGATGCAAATCAGTGATCGCGCGTACACATAAGTGCATGTTTATCCTGGAATAAGAGAAGACCCGAGTTACAACCTGTTATAAATTATTCTGGTAATTAATACGAGACGCCTCTCTCTCTCTCTCTCTCTATGTACGAACGCATGCCGGTATTCCGTTTCATTAATTGCTCACGCGTAATAAAAACACTCGCGGTGTCGATGGAATACGCCGATCGCGATTAACGGGATGGCTGCATCCGCATGCGGTTAATTTGTCACAATTTTAGAAACACACGTATTATTATAATTGCCGAGTAAAGTCCGAAATTTTTAATGATTGCGGATGAGCATTAAAATGTAATATTGTTAGCAAAAATTTTAATTAAAATGTTTTCGTTTTATAACGGTAAAAGAATATTACAAATCGCATAATTAACGATAATGATAATTTAGCTTTATAATACTTTATATTAAAATATTAAAATGGATTCATACATTTATGCATTAAAATATTTTAATTGAACAAAATCAGAGATTTGACGATTAGTTCTTCGAAAAAATTATTTTAAAAAATGTTGAATTTATAATTGTGAAGAATATTAACATGCGGTATATATAAATGTGAACATTTGCAAAAAGAATGCGTTTACGCTGCTGATTAGCTAGGCGCCATTTGCGTTGTATTTTGCAAAACAAGATATTGAAAGACATTGCAAAATTTCGAAGAAATTTATCGACTTGCAATCTGTTGCTTCTACGAAACATGAAACTGTGTACAATAGTGCAGCTTCAGCGTGTGAAAATAATCAATGTGCTTTTTCGAGAAACGTCTCATTAATCAATCATTCTATCAGTAAACACGAGACGAGTAGAAAGGAGTGGAAAAATTAAACTTTAAGGACGATGATAAGAGAAACTGTGAACAACGTTGACAGTGCATAATATATTCTCAACAATAATTTTCAATTGACTTTTAAATGATCACTATTTATTTAGCAAAATTAAATTAATATTATATGCCCGATTGTTCTTATACTGAGCTAATAACATAACATTTCACTCGGTAAAATTGTCATAGATAATTATTGCATAAGTCAGAAAGATGACAAGCATGATGCGTTCCAGATATTGATTCAAAGATGACGCATATAATTACCGGCGGCTTAAGGCATCTCGAGGTGTCAAGTGGAGCGAATGAGAGAAACGTGACTCCCGTTTGAATCATTAGAAACATCCCCAAACGAATAAAGCACATTTCGCCTAATTGAGACTTACTGTAATTAAACCCGGGTAATCCCGAAAGTTCTCGCGTTCCATTTAAGTAACATCTGTACCAGATGTTCTGTTACGGTACGCTGGCACGTGAGAAACTTTGTATTTCTAGTCAGCAAGTATAATGTAGCAGTAGTAAGAACGCATTAATATTTCATGTTCCTCTCGTTTTACACCGATGCACAACTGTGCCGCGACATTATTGAGTTATATTCATATTCACGCAACAAATTGGACGAACTGTATTACGAATTGTATCGTAAATTAATTTCCGAATTCCGAATTAAGGTCGGGAATATTGAATTTATGCATTATGTTACACACTTAAGCGTCAATTTGTTCAAAAATATTTTAGTTGCAATATCATATCGAGTTCGAAGACTCTCTTTCAAAAATGACATGATATCTTGTGCCAATAAATTTTCGATATAAAAAAAACATTATAATTATTACAAATTAGCATCGGTTGAAATGCAGTGTCACTTTTTTTCAACTTACTTTTTGCCCGTGCCGCATCGGTACTTGAAAACTAAAAGCGCGGCTATGAGCGTTGTGAAAATAGGAACAAAGATGTTCATCAATTCGATGAGGCACTCGGCTGTTGATTGATTATCATTTTCCGACATCCGTAACACTGTGCCATTCTCGGCTCGCCAGGACCAAATGACCCGTCTCGCGGGTCTCGGCAGTAAACGCAGAAATTTGTATTGTTTGCAGAAATCCATTTTGACCGCATGCGTACGGTGCCTTCGATAATCTTAACACGAGATATCATTTATGACTCGCTAACTGCTTAATCTGAAAAATTGAATACTTATATTATTTGATTGATTAGATATATTATCATGAAAAAAATCAATGTTTAATTAATTATGTACATATAAAATGTTCCATAATTCGCACATGGTTTTTTAATGATAAATATGTTAATTAATTTTGAAAACAAGTTTTCGCTTAGCAAAAATATCGAAGGAAGTTTGTTGTATTTTTCCAAGTTTCTCAATATTATATATTTTTACAACTAATTGTAAGCTTTAAATTGAGATTTTGATAAAATAGAGTTTGTACATGAAATTAGCTAAAAAATATAGCTTTGTTTTGTTTCTTTTGAAGAATAAAAAAAGTTATTTTTGTTCAATTGTTTATAATTCAAAAATTTTTTATGCCTCAACCTTTTTGAGGAAAAACTGATTTGAAAAATTTGTTATTAAAATATTTCATAAATTCTGTATAAAAAGAATGATATATATATATATATGTATTTCTATGATAAAAGTATATCTCGATACATTTATTAACTGGAATAAATTGGGCTGAAATGTTCGTAAATTGACATAAATTATGCGCTAATTTCCGCATTACTGAATATTGGAGATCGTTTATTTTCATGTTACTTTTATATTGACGTCATGGTAATACCATTCACAAATTAGATCTGCCTTTCGTTCGGGAAATTCCGTACAATCACGTGGCCCGTATTTTCGTTTAGCGCTTTGCGTCTTCTAAAAATACACCGGGAACGTTGAATAACTTTCGATATCCGATAACGCGAGCGCGTGTGCTAATAATTACACAAAACTTCATAATTCATTTGCTATTATCGAGATGAAACTTAAGAAGGTCAGGGATAAGATCAATAAGACGATAAAATTAAACGAAGTTTTACGTGAGTTTGCAACGTACGGAATATGTTTGAAAATATCTTATCTTACTCGCAATTTTTCTTAAACTCGTGAAGAGAGAATCGTAAGGAATTATTTCTCGAAATCATTTCAGAGCAAAGAGTTATTTCTTGCGATGTTATTATGCGAAAATATACATATAGATAGGCTATTACTAAGAAATCCCTGCTGCGTTGATGACCTCTTAAACTCGACCCACAGAGTTAATTGCTTAAATTAACAGAGTTCTGTCATACAACTCGAAATTGTATCATCAAGATGTATTATATGAGATATTTTAATTATATCCCAAACAAATATCCAACGATATAAAAAAAAACTCGCCCGTGAAAAATTAATTTTGAATTAGGAAAAATTAGGATAAATCACATAAATATATTTCTTTAAAATCTTAAATATATTTTTTAAGAAAAAAGTATATTCCTTAAAAAAATTTTTAATATCTTCTTATTGATATCCGATAAATTCCCGAGAGAAATTCTCGAGGCAAGATTGAAAAATTTATTTCCCACAGAAGCGACGTTTTATGTGAATATTTCAGAGTTCTATTATATATGACTTCATGAATTATATCATTGAATATAATGTGTTTCTCTCATGTTTTATTTATTTTTGGACAGAAACAAAACAATGTTTTGTTTATATTCTGACATCAATGAAATATGTTCTAATAATCGTTGAAATTTCTGAACGCAAAGGTTCAAGGCAGACATTGCGTTAACGATGTCTTACGCCTTCGTAATAATCAATCTTTATTGGAAGAAGGAAAATCAGTTATGTCACTAACGAAGGCAGGCATGTCTTCAAATTTCAATGTCGTATCGTATCGTGTTTCGTATGTGTTGTCGCTTTCAATATAATTTGTCGCAAATAACTACGCGTAACGCTGACGTGTTTGCAAATCAAGATATTATACCATTTTTCAAAACGTTGAATATTAAGGTGCTATGCCATTTGAATATTCAACTCTGTGATAATAAATGAATTACATAAACGACGATGATATTGCAAATCTTACGCGAGAGAAATGTTAACTGTTGCGTTACAACATTCTAGACTTACTTACCAATGAATCGGATCAACTTATTAATTACCAACAATCCGTTCGCTCCATTGTATTCATAAACGTGGCAGCTCGATAACTATTCTGCAGTTATTACGATTTTAAATCACGATGCATTCTCGCTTTTCGGATGCATACAGGAAACTGAAGCACTCGATCAGCCGATGCATGCCGACAATCGCCACGTGCGCGGCACTGACAAGTGGCCCATGAGCCACGTCCTCCCTCACCAATGGTTCACGGTCTACTGAGATGAGAACCGAACAGAATGCCAATGGCAATTCCATGTGTACGGTGAGTCACTGATGAAATAGAGGATTCCGCGCGGTTGCCGCGCAACACTAAAGCCGGCATATAATTTCGCCGAAAGAAAATTTCAATATAATAGATATACTAAGGCTGATTCCTTGTGTGATGTGCGCAATTTCTCTATCGTGCGTGACATTCCAATAGTTCTACAAAAATTCAAACGTGAAAAGGTCAATAAAAATCAGAGATGCATCGGAAAAGTATGATTAAGCAAGAAGGAAATATAAAATTCGAACATTGCAGACGAATTTCAATTTTCTTTGATACATTTATATACAGGGTGATTTATTTTAATCTCAACGTCAAATATTTTAAATGAATTATCCTGTATAACACAAAGATAGATTCAAAAATAATGAACGCGGTCAAATACTTTGAAAAAAGTATATATCGCAAAAAAGGAATAAAATTTCAAATTATCGCCAATATGTATAAATATATTAATTGTACTGTAATATATATTTACCGTGAAAATATTTTCCGCGCATCTTCGCGGCTGAGAAAGCCACCTGGTAGCACTTGTTTAGTTTTCTTATAACGAGACCGGCTGTAAAGTGCCAATAGCTGTGCACCCTATTAATGGATACCCGGTGGCCACTTCCACAAATCGCGTTAGTCACAGCTTAATTTTACCGGCGAGGCTTCTGTTTACAATTCTTCCGACGATTCCTTCGTCGCAAGGAACTCAAATGTTTCATTCTAAACTTTTCTCTCAATTGCTACATAATATTTCCATAACACGCGAAGAGAAATAATCGAATGGAATTCGGTGCTCCTCGCATTTAAACGCCGATGCGAGTATGCGAGATTTTACATTTCGCGAAGATAAAAATGCTGTAATTAAATGAAGATAATAAAGTTAGCGAAATAAATTATTCAATTACATAAATTTGAAATTCAACGTTTCATACTGATAAAACAATGCTGCAACGACGAAATAAATTTATTTTAATAATAATTTACGAACAGGGAGATACAATTCCGGCAAAATAAACTCGATTTGCAAATTTTCGCGGAATTCCTCGTTTGTAACGGCATTTTGCTGCTTTCGCGTTATTTCGCGTTCTTTCGAGACTATATTCCACTTGCTTATCTGCCGGACAATTAATTATCGACGATAACTTTCTGTCGCGACGTTCGTAACAAATCGCGTTAGACAGAATAAAAATCGTCGGCCGCCTCTAACGTGTCCGCCAAAAAGTACACCACTCGGGAATAACCAGTTTATTGCCCGTGCAACTATCCTCACGACATTCCGTGTTTTTTCCGTGAGAGAAGCACGCCACTCGCATTAACTAGTCTGTTATTTATGCCTCTTGTCGTTCCTCGTAAATTTCTCCCGATCCGAAAAATGTATATTAATCCCGCGCAACGAACCTGCCCACGAATATTCATTTTATCTTCCAGCACACTACTTTTCTATCTCGGCTCACTATGCAGATACATAATGAATTGCTACTCGTACACCGTTAAGCGATGGCTTTTAATTATCTCCGAGCGTAATATTAAATTTTCTCGTGACACGAGAGACGGGAGGGGGAGGGGCGGCATCGGAGAGGTGGACGGCGGTGCGCAGGTGAGAGAAACAAAACGGAGGTGGATTTATTTGAAAAATATTTAATAATAAACATTGACAATATACAGAGAAAATACGCCATAAGAAGTCGCTATGGGATTAATAAGAACCTAACAACTGGTCCAGACTTACAAAATATCATCAAATCAGACAATGATAAAGGTGCCACGAGTCACACCTCATATTCCTATCAATATTTCGCAAATAAAGTTCATCGAGTTGATCATATATTTTTACTCTCTTATACCTCTTCTTCTTCTCCTTCTTCTTTTTTTTTTTTATTCTTTTACTGATTTTCATTTAATCTCCTGCGAGCCCGCTATTGCGTAGAACTCTCTCGGTAGCGCAAATCACTTATGCGTAATGGAAATCCGCAAAGAGACACAGAGGCATCTCTCAACGGCGTTTCTCGTTGCGGATTTCTGCTTTTTTTTTTTTACTCTTTTCTTTACATCTGCGAGAGAAGCGAAAAAACAGGTGGCGATTAGCTGTTTTTAGTTTTTCACAATGATCCAAACGGTCACGGCATTCTTTCCTCATTTGTCATCTTAACTTTGTGCTACCTTACATAACGATAATTAATTCGTGCTCTTATTTTTCACCAATCCGTGGAGATGGGAAATGGGGGGAGGGGGAGGGGCAGGGGGTACGAGTTTCTCGCTCGCTCGCATACGGATTACGTACATACACATTACACACACGCACGCACCGGTGTCTCGTATAACACACGTACAGATACATTAAACTTTACACACGCACACGCGTCGCTAGAAATATCATTAATAATAACGCTCTAATGTCATGGAACATCCCTCATTAATTTTTCTTCTTGCAATAATTCGAAAAAGAACAGCGCTGCCGACGACGCCGACGATTCCGGCTTCGAGATTCGGATCTCGCGCCTCGGTGATAGAGATCACTCTCTCTCTCTCTCTCTTTCTCTTTTGTGCCGTGCGACGATCGCGGAGGATCCCTCCGACAGCGCTCTGCTCGAATACCTAGGATATGTTGCTTGTAAGATGTGTCATTACGTAGTCATGTATTCATCTAGATTCATTTAAAAATCCCTTTACGGTATCTTTTTTTTTTTTATCGTTAATTAATAATTATACGTATAACGTACGGTGCGTATCATTGAGTTATGTTACATTGCGCGACCCCACTAGCTCTGGGTTTCGTTATCAACGAGGACAAATTATCGATAGGAGATTCAGGCTTTTGACCTCGCCCGCGCGTCCAACCGTAATCCGTCAGAACTGAAGAATTTTATCAAGCCACATTTATCTTCATATTCGAAAAATTTTATCTAAGATCTAAAATGTTTTAAAGTTATGGATTCATGCTTGGGAGTAAATTCTTCAATCCGGAAGAGAAGGTACGCCCGGCGAGGATCGAAGACTGAAGTGACGGGACTTTCGGGACACGAAAATATGCGTACACGTGAGGAAATTTGGCAGAAGCTATTGAACATCTCCGTAAACTCTATTGTTATCTAGATATGTCGCGTTCTTTGTAGACAACAGTGTTTCCAGCGATCAAAACGATTTTCCGATAATCCTTATAAATATTTTTTTTTTTTCTCTTGATAGAACGGCGAAGGGAAATTTGATAGTCACTTCAGAGCGACGACAGTAAACGAGATATTCTTCCGGCATTTAAACGAGGCGACAAAAAAAGAGGCGTAGTAAAAGGGGGGAGGGACAGGGTTCGACAGAGAGCTTGATCTAGCCTCTAGACTCTATGAACATCTTGTACGATAGGCCTGTCGCAACAGTAACGCGCATAAAGTAAGAGAATCGAAGAAAGGAAGTTGTGCACTCGTGACGAAGATAGGACGCGACGAACCCGCGGAAAAAAGTGTGCCTCCGGCGCGGCTCTCCCGTCCCGCTAATTTGAGCTTGACTTATTACGCTAACCACTAGTAGTAATAGCCTACCGATAAAAGGTATCGATTACGAATAAGTATAAATTGTAATTACAGTGTATAATATACAGGGAGATAAACCTCGCAGAATCTCTCGTGCTCTCGTACCGCGTGCGCTTTTACTCGCGAAGAGTGCGGCTGCGAAAAGTCTCTATTTCCGCCTCTTCGACTTCCCTCTGATAAAACCCGTGTGACGAGATGCAAATTTATCATGGCAAAAACAATGCGCGAGATACGTTAACAATACGAGATTTGGCTTCGGCTAAGTCTTTTAAGATTTTTAACTCTCGGCGAGATTCAATACTCGTTATAGTTTCAACCCTGAAATTCTGATAAAGATCGAACCCTAATAAGAACAAGAATCCTAAAAAAAAGACTTAGCCGTATATAATTCGTAAAGTCTAACATTTTAGCACTCTAATGAAATCACAAGATGTCTTCGCATAAAACAATTACGTCACGGCATTAAAAGTTAATGGCCAAAAACTGTCAATCATTTCATATGAATCTTTAATGCAATTTGATTTGTCTAACAAATAAAAATTAATGCAATAATGCATTTTTTAATTTGTAAACAGTAAAGTCAATTTATATTCGTCGAAAAAATTTAATCATGTTCATTGCGCTGTTTTGTGTACATGAAAAAAGTGTGGCACAAATGTTGGTTATTAGACATTAAGTTTCAATATCGTGACGTAATTGTGCCTTGCAAACGTATTTTATGATGATTTAATTAGAGTGCCGAAATGCTACGAGATTTTATCTTACGGGTCATCTTTGATAAAAAAAATTTGTCGCACAGTTGGATTATTGGATTATCGGCTAAGCTATGTTACGAATGTAATTACATCACGGTGAGACAAAATGTCAAACTGTCGCTGTAATTATACAAATTGTACCTTAAATATAAAACTACGTTTGTGTTTTAGAAAATGTCAGAAGGATTTTATCGGAGGAAAATCGAGATACAGTTTCTTGTGCTGTCTTTCGCGTGGAAGGATGTGTGTAGATACAAGAATTCCTTTTCCGAATATCGATCGTTACTGCGTAAAATCGGCCGAATTTTCGTCGAGTAAGGACAAAACGCAGGCTTAATGTCGGGTAACGGCTAACATTCGGAGAAAGTTTTCGTATCTTTACCGCGTCTGCGTATTTTTACTGCTTAATTAATTAATTAATTATTCTACGTTCATTAATTTAACATTACGAGAATCATGAGTATGTTCGAGTGTAGTTTTCTCTCTTGTCTGCTTGTTTAGTTCCTAAAAGTGCGCTTCTCAGCACGCTCCTCTACAATCTTTGTGCTCGACAAATCTAGTTGATCTATGTACACGTACACGACGCTCGCGAGAGAGAAAAAAAGAAAAGAATCGCTGCCTTATACCAAACACTAAAGCTTAACCCAAATTTTTAAACTAAAGATTGATTAAAATGTGACGACGGCCAAATTATCTGTTGTATTTTCTAAAATCTCTTCGTCCATTAAGAAAAGAGAAAGAAAACAAGAACTAAAACAGAAAATTGATAAGTTATTCCTAACATTATTCTTCTGTATAATATACGATAAATCCTATTAATTTAACAGACAGATATCAATTGATCATTTCTGCGTTTTATTCTTCCTTTAAAAAAAAATAATAGATATATTATTCTTTTAAATAATAGATATATTATTTTTGAATAAATGCTTTTTGCATTACTTGAAAACAAATCAGTCTCGTTAATATTTAAACGACTTAGTAATTTTACGCTTTTTGTAATAAATTATTTTATATGTGCATTATCTTTCAATGCATGAATTATATTGCTTCTATCTGATTGCAGTTTATTGCAGTGCGTGCATTTGATTAAGATATTATTCGAATAAATGTCTGAGATTAGCACTGCTTTTTTTCCTTATAAAATTCTTATGTACAAATTTTTCAAGAGAGATAAATACTTTTTCAAAAATTTTGTAAAATAACTGTAAATAATTCCCAAAATAAAGATTGTAACACAAATATGTCACGTGATTCAGAAGTATTATTGATTTTCACTACAGTATACTGTTTGTTGTATATAATAATGTAAAATGTGAAATTGACGAAAATGTTTTAAGTAATTACGGTTGATAATTTTAGTCATTGTTATTCTTCAATGTAATCTCTAGTTGAAAATTTTGGGATTAAACTTAAACACTTGATATACGGCGACAATTCTCTTTCTTTTTTATATCCACTCGGTCAGGAAGCAGATATCGAGTGTCACGAGAAAAAGAGCTGTTAATCGAGAACGCCGGTGAATAGAAATCGGAATCAACAACAGTGAAGATATCTATTTGCGAATAAACAAATCATTCTGAGAACTAGAAATAAATCTGTATTTATATCAAAAGGTCATGTGCGTTTCAGCAAATTTCGTTTCTAATAAAACTGACAATGTTGCACTTAAAAAATAAGTAAATATACAATTATGTTTAACATATACTTCGATATTAAGACACATTATATCAATTACAAAATTTCGCACTTTTAAATCAAAAGATATTAAAAAACGAGAAAGAAAAGAAAACAAAGATGCTAGTCGTCGTTTAGTGCGAAGTATCTATTCGCACCAGCGTTTTCGATTACTCGACGCATTTCGCTATAAATGGATCGGCATTTAGCGGAACCTAATTATCCTTCGTGACGAGAAGACGAGTTCATTCTGCAGGCGCGCGCGCGTGCGCGCATCTCTTCGACATCGAGGAACCGAAACGACCTGCTGAGTATGCAACATCACGTTAAGAAGCGTTGACATAATATTGCTTATTATCAATATTACAATGGCGATCCGACTTAGCATCTCGCGGATAGCATCTCGTGTGTTCGCGATGCGCCTTGCATAAAATCGATCTTCCTGCGGCGCATCCCACAAATCTATTTCTATCTACTATTACTGTGTGTTCGTCTGTTGAGATTCCGATTTTAACAAACTTGAACAAAAAGAGCATAAGAGGGTCTTCTGGTTCATATTAAATTCTTTTTTCTGAAATATTTCCACGAATTTTGACTATTCAAACTTTACACACGTTATATATTTTTTATAATAAAACTATACAAATAATTTCTTTTGCAAAATAAGAAATTATGAATGTTACAGATAGATATATTTATTTTATTTTATGTTCTCTTATTATGTATTAATGTATTAATTAATTAATTAATTAAACACAAAACCAGCATGATTTTTTGCAAGTACGAGTTCATATTATTTTGAATAAATACGTTAATTTTCTTATAAAAAATATCGGTGTTTCTCAAACTCACGTAAAAACATGCACAAAGTTTTGAATGTTCTGTCATAATTCTTTTAAAAAAACTTCAGAAAAAAAGGCATTCTTCTCTCAGGTCCAAAAACTCTCTTACTGTGTTCACTGTGTTAAAAAAAAAGAGATTGTCATGTTCGTTCAAACTGCTTAACTAAGAAATAAATAGGTGATACATGCTTTGACTGGATCGTCGCGCGATGAAGCTATGTCAGATTTGGAGAAAAGAGGCGTGAGTGGCGGGATAACTCGATCGCATTCGCCGCTCCAATGCGCAATTTGTCGTTGTTTCACAGTTTACAGATGGCAAGGCTGCGCCAAGTTTCTCGGACAAATAAGCTACAAAGATATACAAACTATCGGATATACGAATATATCACTACGAAAATTAAATATGCGACATCCTTCGCATATTTCCTTAAGTTCTAGTTGTAAAGAATAAAAACAAACTGAAACACAGATTTCCTCAGCCTTTTCTTGAAACAGATCTATCAAAGTCTCGTTAATTACCGCGAGGGTTTCCACGGAGATTTCAATCTAACAAAAGTAATTAAAATAGCTTAACATTTTGCTAGCTGCGCTTCGAGATATCTCTTTGAGTTTGTCCGCGAATGGAGCGAGCGCATACGCGAAACGAAGTTGAGAAATAAGCAAAAATCGGAGATGCGCTGATGTCTCGGCGCAAATCAGAATCCAGCATGCCGCTTCAGAGGTCTGAACGGTTCTTCTCCGTCCCTTCTTCTGTCCGTCTGCTACTCTCTAGTTTACCGAGAACAGAGCTTGGTTCGCAAAACCTACGCATACACACGCGCGCAAAAGCGCATACACATACATATTTGGCATAGAAACCCTACCAGTCACATGGATGCCTTTGTGTCTAGGTCGTGTTTTTTTTTGTTTTCTTCTCTTTAACTAGCTACCTAAAGGTCTCGCTCTTGGGAACACCGTGTGCCGGCTCGTGTCGGATCGAAGTCGTCAATTAATAGGTAAACGTGCGTGTATAGGAGATACACATAACATATATATATATATATATATATGTATATATATATATATATATAACATTGCAACATTTCAACATTTCAACATTGCATTTTGCGGAAACTATAAACAGAAAAAGTGAGTCACGACACTATATTTCATGTCTCGTTTAGCCGCTCGGAAAGCTTTTTGGCAAGATCGATTAACACGCTGAGGATTGAATACACCGAAAGGAATACATTGAGAAAAAATATAACAAAACATGTTCGTAACTGAGAATAACTTTGTACGGCAAATGTCAAAGCGATGAGAGCGTTGTCATTGATGTGGTGTGAACTTTTATCTTAATTTAATTCAGATCAATTGTTGAAATTGGAACAGAATGGAAGAGTAAAAAGACTATCGCGTTGCTGTTGCTAAAAATTACTGACGCGAGAGCGACTTCCCATCAGACACGACTCAACACATCAAATGCGCCGGCCTCGACTCTACCGCTATGTTTAAAGACCGATTTTTCTCGCCTATGGATCTCCATCGTTGACAAGTTTTTTTTTGCTTTGCACAGATCTGACGCAAAAGTGATGTTTCTCATCCACGACAGCGGGCACGTTTCGATCGGATAATCTCGAAAGGCAAATGATATCCAATTGCCCGTCAGATCTTGCGTGCCGCGGAAGTAAAACCGGCGAGTCTCAAGTATGCGTAGAGGGTCCAGGCGCGTCGCCTCGCGAGTGATCCCGACGATGGCAAAATGACGGTGATGATTGTGTCGACTTGCGTCTGGTCATGTTCTGCTGAGTATAACGATGCTCTTGGAAGGCTCTTGCGCTCCGCTGTCAGTTTAGTATGGGGCAAACCTGTTGTAACCGCTTCTGTACACAGTCTGCAAGAATAAAAGTTAACAGAATACAATTAGAGACGTGAGGCGAAACAAACGTAGGCGCGCTTCTAACGCCCGAGTCCTAGACTTTTCGAGCGTGAATATTGGCGAAAATTTTAGCTAGAAAAATAATTCGATCGTCGTGACTGATTCTGTCGAGTCGCGGATTAATTTCAAACTTTTTATCGCCTTACTAATTTTAAACTTTCATACGAATGCGGCGGTATCTAATCGGCGTCCAGTCGTTTGCGCGATATAAAGTTCGCGCTCGCCGCGAGTCGCGATCGGCGATAGTCGCGTTTAAGGATAAGCGCGCGCGACGGGCGCGCACGAGCCATTAACTTTCGCCCGCGACACAGTTTCCGTAAGTTGAAAATGCCGAGCATTAATAATTCATATGTGAGCGAAACGCGCGCGCAGGCCCGAGAGAAGGGCTTTACCAACCGCCCGTTATTTATGGCGTAATAACGGAGCGCGCTATTCTCTCGCCGTAGATAGCCATACGGCCGCCGTAGGTGATGTACGCGCGCGATTTAACGGCACTCCCGTTAAATGAAATCGTAAAAGTACGTCTCGTAATCGAGAGAGCTTTCTTACCCCATAGCCCGCCACAGGTCCAATGCCGTGTCCTAGGTAGGGATCGGCGTACTCACGCCCGTAACTAGAAGGGAGAGACAAAAGGAATCGTTAATACCGTGAAACTCCCCAGTTCATCAAACAGCGTTTTGCATTTATTCTTTGGATTTTTCTCGCGAGAGGCGAGAAATGTTCATGCTTACGCGCTGTTTTTGACAAAGAAATCGATGCACCACAAAGCAAGTCTCTCTCTATCCAACGAAACGTCGCGTGTTGATGTGGGAATTAAAACATGACATGTGTCGAATGTTGTAGACTCATATTTTGCAAAGTCAAATTTCATAGGTTTCTAAAAAACTATTTTCATCGTGCATCAATTTTTTTGTTGAGTATAACACTTAAATCTCAGTTTTAAATTAATTTCAAAATAATATTGATACTTAATAGGAAGTACTGACGTAAAGTACAAGTGCTTTAAGGTTTCTTGAGGAGTGTGTCTGGGCTTTCAGCGGGACTGGCAGAACGGATTGGGATTTCGGGTAAGAATTTGCGACTTCTGAGAGCTCGTCCGCAGCGTCGGTGTTTTCTGCAAGGAATGTGGACTCATCGTGTTAGGCTCTATGACGGTTGATAGCTTTTCTTCCAAGGGATTAATATTTTATTAGGCTGAAGGAAATTGTTAACAGATATGAAGGATGATGATTGGTAATAGTAAATATTATCAAGGACACTGAGAGAGGGAGACAATTTATTGCAATATTTAGTACGTGCTATACATTTCTCATTCTCGTAATAGAGTCAAATCGATGACTTCCAAACAACCCCAAATATTTATACGAAGGGGTGGTTTCAGCCAGAAAGTACAACTATTAATATTTATGCCATGATCGATTTTCTCACGAAATTATTTCGATTAATAATTATGACGAATTATTTCCGAATCATGAACCTTCATATCGATGACGAAGATAATGTGTTTCAAAATCCTAAACATGCTAGATAAATAATATTAAGAGAATAAGTTCGAACTATATTAATATAAATTATGAAACTGTGGAAATCACTTTTTATCCAATTATATATAAATTTGAAATTCTAAATTAACTTCCAGCATTAATGATAGATTTCAGTTCTAGCTGTCACATTTTAATTCCCTCCTGTCGCATAAATATTTTCTCGAGCAGATACTTCGCAATCATCATGATAATGTAATTTAAAGGTATCACGGCAAAGAAATATTGCAGTAATGTAACGCGCAGTGTCACAGATATATTATAGTGTTACAAGCGTCACATAAATGCGTCATAAATAATTCATACGGAGATAAATTAAGCGACATTTCGAAGAAAACTCCGGGAATCTTATGAGACAAGCGCGTTCGCGGAGAAAATTCGCAGAGCTTCCTTTCCCGAGAAAGATAAAGAGGGTCGAGTTTCAAATTTTTCTTTTCTTTATGAAGATCATTATTTCTTCGAGGATCATACAAGATACGTCAGATTCACAACGGCCACTTTTGACCCATTTTAAATCGGCTTTCATTTAATTTAGAAAAAGAAAATACTTGTTATTCCAACGGATATTTAATTTACGGATTATTTGCGAAAGCCGTGCCACATTTTCGCTCAATCGAAGAATTGACTCGAAAATTCGTCAAATAATTCAGAGTGACTCGCTAAATCTGGGGCATTCAGTATGCCGGGCGGGGGTGGAAGGGAAGGCGAGAGGTCCCGGAGGAATCGGGTGAGGAGAGTACGCACACAACGGTGGGAGGAGGAGGAGGAGGTGGAGGAGGAGGACGAGGGGGGCGGGCGGAGGAGGGCGGTTTCTCGGGGGAGAAACGCGGTGCACTTACCCCGCGACTGCGGCATATCCTGCGACCGGCTGTGCCGCAGCTGCAGCTGCGCCGTAAGCGCGCGCAGCTACCGCCGTGTAGGTTGCTGCAGCTGCATACGTGGCTTGTTGTGCCGTGGATAGAGGTGTCTTCAACAAGGGTGTCGCTGCGGCTGCTGCTGCCGCGGCCTGAAACAACAATCATGACCCGCCATGCAAGGCTCAAGCAAGCTCGAAGACAGACAGAGAGAATGATCTCAGCGAGAAACGATGCTAAGACACGGTACTTCGTTTCCAGAGGCGCGTGTCGTTTGCACACAGAAAACATTGCGTTGAAACTTTCTAGCTTTGAAGACGATAACAATCGCGGCGGCGAACTGGAGAAAAAGCACCGAGGATAATATAAAAAAGAAAAAAGAAAAAAAGAAAAAAAAACACTTCAAGTTGCTCTCTTATTAGAAAACACTAATAATGAGAGGAAGCTGGAATTGTAATAAGACGAATGCAATTCCAATTATAACTGTTAATGAAATTGCAATTCATTGCCAGACAGTTCTGCGAACTCATGCAAGAATCGGAAAACTTTTGAAACTTTCAAGCTCGCATGTGTGAGCTCTTTTCTCCAGCCGCAGCTTTAATCGATCATCTGATTAGCAGTCTACTCGATAAATAAAAAATGATGAAAGAAAAAATGCTAATTAAAAACATTTTGTTAAGTGTACGTTAAAATGAAGATTACGCGAGATTGCAGCAGCATATATGTAATTTCGTTTCGCAGTAAAAGAGAAGAATTTCAAGATCGTGAAATGAATAAGATTTTTATCGGCTTTAATTTCAACGCTCGTTATTGCTATCAACAATTAGTTTCTCGGCCATCAGAGCACTGAAATATATTCTCTTTTTACCGCTGTACATCTGCTAATGCAATCTTGTTAAATCGCATATTTTTAATCAAATTGTCGCGCATTTTAAAATTTATCTCGCTTTTCGAGAAATAAATAAATGAAACTCTACTGTCTACCACGCTAATGTTTCCTATGTGCAATTACTATGTGAAACGCGTCAGCGTATCCACTACGACATCCATAGAACAGCGAGATGCAATAGCGAACGACATTTTCGCGTTTGAATATACGAAAAAAAGAGAGAGAGAGAGAAGAGAGAGAAGAAGAGAGAGAGAGAGAGAGAGAGAGAGAAAGGGAGAGAGAGTTGTCGATATGAACACGTAACCTTTGCGCTGCATTTTTCTCGCTGTTTTAAAAATGCCCAGTGCATGGATATTCAAACATTTCGAGCACATAACTAACTGTGTGTCACTCGAAGCTGTAGTTTGTACAACAAGCTCCGAGCTGGATGTTTTATTTACAAGGGGCATGATTCAATCGAAACTGATGATATCCAATTTGCTTATGACATCAGGCGATTATATTATCGGATATAATAACTCGCGATAACGAACATTCCACTTTCTAATTGAATATGAATTGATAATGAATTCTATAATACAAAAATGCATTTTCTATAGTTCTAATTTTAACAAACTTTTATTTTCACATACTCGTTAAATGGAATTTGTTCATCTCTTATTGTTTTCCAAACGAATGCTTTTCGTGTTTCATATTGAAATAATTATGAATAAAATAAAACGAATGAATATGAAAGAAATGTTAAAGTTTCATGCAACATGAAGAGATTTTCGTGAAAGTAGCCACGGTGCAAAGTGAAAATTTTTTAGAAAAAACAGAATAACTACAAACATATAAAATAGAAAAGAATCGGGATGACCGCTGATTATTTTTCTTAATCTAGCGAAAAAGTATGTTCGATGAGAAAGAAACCGTATGAATGTATTTTTAGCCCTCCAAAATAATATCGAAAATATTTCCACCAGTTCGAATAGCGGAATGAAATTTTTCCACGCAATAGAATCGCTCGAATTAGATTCTTTTCGATAGAAAAGCATCGAGGGAAGTTTCTCGCACAAAATCGAGTAACGACTATTGTTACAATAGTTTACTTATTGTGTGTCGCACGAGATATATAAGTCAACTTCCTGCGAGTCCCATCAAGAAGCCCGTTCCAAAGTCGCCGCTGGTGCGACGTAGTTACGAATAACTGTGATGTTTCAATACCGTAACTTGGCGAGTGTATTTAGCGCGAGCGGGTTTCCGCTCGCCCTCGCGCAGCATCGACTGGCTATCTCTGAAGCACCCGGAGGATTTATGCCCGATGAAGATGACGGGCTTTCGAGCGCGCCACTTATTGGCGCCGGGACGATGGCGGGCAAGATCTACGACGCGAATGCATCTAGGATGCGCAATCTGATATACGCCGACATATACGTGTGTTCCATTTTCGCGACAACGTAATACACGCCCCCGCGCCTGCCCGTTACAGACGCTCGCGATTTCCATGACATTTCCATTCGCGCGTTGACCTAAACCCGAACGCCGGTTTGCGCCCTCGGGCGCCATCGCCGCTCGTCGAGAGTGCTGCCCGAAAGCCCGGGGATTAGCCTGGGGATCAAGCTCTCGCCTTAAGTTTGATCATCTCATCGTTAACTTACTGCAAGGCTGTCCATTATACGTGATATTGCGCTATATGCTACGGTTGCATTTTTATAACGCGAATTATAAGTCAAGTTTTATGTCATTATTCACATTATTTGTCAATTACGTTATTCGGCCAATTCAATCACGTTATTTATTACTCAGAATAATAATAAACATTAATAAATATTTGTACAAGTAATAGAATCTTCTTTTTTTTTCAATAAAATTTACTCGCGGTTAAATACTCAAAAATATCTTGGTTAAAGTTGGGAGAAAATGATTGATTATAATCGAGGACAAATTCGTGAATTTGCATCCTAAAGAAATTGTTTATGAGTGCTGATGCATCTTGTACGAATCAATTATTCAACAAAACTTTAGTTATAAACGTGACAAAAATCGAATTACCACTTCATTGTATAGAAATTAACGAGAAGTGATGACGCAAGAGAAATTTTATGGAACTGTCAGTCTAAATTCCGAGCAAGCGTCAAGAATTATTACTGTTTGTGTTAATCAGTAGAGTTCATTATTTTGTAATTAATAAGCGAAAACGATGTAAAATGTATTTCAAAAACTTCTGGATTCAAGGTCTGATCATTCGTAATTACGAATAAATGTTATTGATTCAACATTGTTCATATCAATCAGCAAAATTAATTATCGAAAAATAGATGAAGGAAGATAATGCGAGAAAAGTCAAACAATTTTGAAATATTACCCCACAATTTGTCCATAAATTCTTTAACAAAGTTGGAATTTATTTCTATCAAATCATTGATAGTTATCGACTTGACAAATCGGATCTTTATTTTCTTAGAATAATAATTCAAAAAATTTAATTGCGATTTTTTTAATTTTAAAACAAAAAAGTTTTATAAAAAAAATTATTTTATATGACTTTTACATCGACAAGATTCATTTCGGATCAATTAAAGGATTTAGATGGAATGGACAGACATGTACTATGTAGTTAGCAACGGATTAGCGACGCAAAAAGGAAATAACTTTTCGCATAAAAACGCTCGTAACTCCGGAAGCACGATTATTATCGAGCGCGCGAGAGCGTCCGATAATTTTTGACGTCCTGACAAATATAGCGGTCGCGAGCGCTAGAATTCCGAGGATCGCGCGAATTGACCGACCGGCTCGCGCATCGCGACGAAAACACAATTCAGCCGGCGCCAGAAACTTTCGGCGGTCAGAAAACCGTGTTGTTGTTCGACATTTTGTCACGGAAAAGGACGCAAGAGCGGGGCGGACGCGGGTGGAACGAGCTGTTTTGTTGGCCCGAGAAAGAAAACAGGACGACGTATTGCGAGAGGCGCCAGATCGCTGCCGCGACTGCAGATTTTCTTGGACGCGAAATCTCGCTCGTCCGGCGAACACGCGAAGTTTCCAAAACACACGAAGTTGAAAAGCGACGATGTGCTCTCCCGGTGATGATTCAATTCCGCTGCGGCAGGAAATTATATAACCGTCTTCAGCGCGCGGGAGTAGCGACGCGGCGTGTAATCGAGACAACACGATGATCCGTTCACGGTGGGACCTCGTTCAAAACAACGGTGACAATAATCTCTGGCGACTTGCTTGCGAATCCAATTTTCAGAAGCGGCCAACTGGAAGCGTCGAGATCGCGGCAAGAACGGCTCTCCCGTTCCGAAATCAGTGATTAGCTTTTTATCCCGCGATTGGGAAGACCGCAATTACATCTGACTCAGCATCCCGGTTAGATCCGAAGGCCATTTTTTTTTCTCCCGTCATCTCCGCCCTCGCACTGAGCTTTCTTTCAACTCGCGTTTCAACCGACCTGTTAAACGATGCACCGCGAAACCGCAGACTCGAAATTCGAAATGCTTACATTGCGGCTCAGTTGACACGTTTAACAATTAGCTGCTTAACTTTGACAGCGATGAGGATTATTGGTGACTTGACTTTTCAAAGCTTCGGTGTTTGAAAGCGTCTTATAATGAAAAAAAAATATTTCAAAGAGAGAATTGGCGTTCAAAAATTTAATTCAACCTTATTATTGATATCAGAATTGCATTAGTAATATAAAAATAATATAAATGTTGTATTATACCGATAAAATAAAATTTTATTTTATTAATATTAGAAATGTTTTGTGCAATAAAATATTTGTTATTAGTAATCAAATTTTCACTGCTATTCAAACTATTTTTTTTTATTATCTAATATAGAAAACATTTTGCGTTGTAAATAATTTGAAAATATTTTGCAATTTTTAGTAAAATATCTATTATCAAATTTTTGCTGACAATCGGTAGCAACATCGAGCTGCTTTTACACGCGTCACTACTTTGTATTAAAAAAATGTTTCATGCTGTAAATAATTTTTCAGTTGATTTTAGTAATTTGTTATCTTCATTCCTTCTTTGTATACATATATCTCTTTTATCATTATTAAGGCTAACGAGCAAAGGATAAAATTTCTATAGAGTTTGCGAAAACATCCGGCTAACAAGAAGGCAAGAACATCTCTTCCCAATTACAGTACACAAACACGCGCGATATATATACATACACATATATATATATATATATTACACATTATCCACTGATTGAAACTTAGTTTCGGGTCCGGCGAGTCTTCAATTAAGCTAACGAAAAGACTTTCGAAATATTTCGCGGGTACCGCATTGAATCCCGCTGGAAAAGGAACGCAGATTAAACCGGTGCAACCGAACGAGCTAATTATCGGACGGAAGTTAAACAAGCCGAGTACTTTAGTCCTACCGCGAACTTTCCGCAACTTTCAAAGCTGGACTCGAACTTCTTCGATGCTGCTCGTTTGCTTTACACCAGTCTACACGTAACTTATCGTATTTTTGTAACAGATATAGAATAATCTATACGTCTGATCTTGTTCATCGCAATTAAATAAATTTGAGAAAAAGATCAATTATTTCTATAAGATCTAATATTTTATACAAAATATAACGATTTTTTAAATGATGAAAAGGTACAATGGTATAATAAAATCTACATTTGAATTCATGATTTAATTTCGGGAAATAATTATAAATTTAACAGCAGCGGCTGATTTGATTTGGCGTAAAATTCTATTAATCTGGAACGCTACAATTATATTTTTCGGACATAGAAAAAATAGTTTATATTTTAACTTTCGTTACGTTCATACATTTTGATATTTTTCACGATTTGTTGTATGTATGAATATATGTGCTTTTTCATTATTCTTTAAATTTAAATATTTGAATCAATAATCTCGGCTCGAGAAAAATTGCAGAAAACTCGTATATAACGTTATAATATTATCTCGCTGTATCGAGCCAATTTCGCGTGTGCGTATCGTGACATTTAACCGAATATTCTCGCAGAGCTCCAGCCAGGATGAACCTGTCAGTTGCTAAATGACGAGCGTTCCTTTACGACGTTGATTTATAGCGGCTTCTCACAAAGTCGAAGGAGAAGGTTAGCAATTCGGGCCGACTACGTCGACACGGACGGCTCGTAAATTCTCGTACGAACGAGCCTCCGCCAAACCACCGCCGTAGCAAACCGGCGGCAGGCGAGCTTTTCCTCGCCGGCCGTCGAATTCGCAGATTGAACCCGTCGAAATTAACCGCGAAAATTCTCAGCGATTCCTAGCACGCGCACCTCGACAATTTACGACCCGTCTCGTGACCCGAAGACACTCTTCACGCTTTCCAATCACGAGTTTTTATCGAACGGGAGAATCTCGTTTCCCCGTACGCGTACACGGCGCCAATTAACATGTTAATTGCTCTTGGGTATTATTTACGTATCGGATTTTCCACTGAACTCGTATCTGCGCCACTGATAAAGGAACGATTTATTAAATACTTGTTCTCGCCCGATAAGCGACTTTGTAGCTGCGATAAAAACGTAATATGCGAATTATACGCTGTTTAGTATCCCCTTGAATTTTAACGTTCATAAATATAGATTAAATATTCATTTATTTATTTTTTACGACAAAACACACAATACTTTGAGCATTATTCCGACATTGGTGGCTTTAGTTCTCTAAAAGTGAACTTTTTCTTGCAGAATTTTCGGTATATCGATATTTATACTAAATTTTCTCATCGGAAAATCCTGAAAATTCTTGGAGCGATCTTCGACGCGTCCGGCTTCATGTTAAAATACTTGCGCAACAATGTCGGAAAATGTGCGCCAGCAGTGCTCTCGTAAAGTGCGTGTAATGCGTCCGACAAATGGTCACTGCTCTATGAAACGACATTCATATTCATCGACCCGCATTTATGATCGTATATTATTGCTTTGAATTTTGTAGATGCTAAGTAGATTTTGATATAAATTTTCCTTCAACACAAAAGATTCTTTTGCAGAAATCGTATAATTCCCGAGAAAAAATTTTAAAATTATCGAAATTTATATTGTACATATATTATATACTTGAAAGTTCGCGTGATTAATTTTTAATTCTCTATGATTTGATTAATGTATCGCTGAAAGTTAAATTTTGCCACAGCGCGCTAGTTGAACTCAGCTACAATACCATGTAATTAAAGTACAAATTATTATATACGGCTACCAACTACCTCGCTTCTAATCGAAACCTGTCATTTGTCCGCCTAAATACAAAGCTCCCTCAAAGTTGAGGCACTCGAAAACGACACACTTATAACTGCGTGCATTTGTCACAACGTTCGCTTCACTCGTATAAGGCCTCCTACGACGGATTCTAGGTCTGTGTGCGACGCATGCTCTACTGATTTGGAAAAAAAGGCGACATTACATGCTGTCTCACGCTAATACCAATATCGAACAGAAAAAAAAAAGGTGAAGAAAACATAAGACGGTGTCGGCGAAAAGAAACCTCGTCGCGGCTAACTCAGACTCCCCTCTAGCGTCTCTCCTAAAACGACTATCCCCTTCGAGGAAACGTCACAGTAAGATTCTTACGGTAGGGAGGATTTTTTTTTTTTTTTAGCAAAAGTGGATTTAACTAAGTAGCCTCCGACAATCAGTGAGCACTTCAATCTTGCGAACAAACGGAAACCAACGTGAAAAGAACAGAGAGAACGGAACTAAATAAAAACGAAGAAAAAAAGAAGAAGAAAAAAAGAAACAAGGGATATGTATATATAGATATATATAGATATATATATATATAGATATATAGATAAAACAGACGGAGAGACGAGAAGAACAAGGCAGACCCTTAATTCCTACCTCCAGGGCGGGCGCTTTAGCCTGAAACACAAACGGCAAACCTGAAAAGAAATTCCGGAAGGATCCCGGACGGCGGGAACTCGAGCCCCGAGTTTTTGCGCGGGGCAGTTAAACCCTCGTTAAGCGAGTTAAGACTCTGTTTCCCGATGCAAACGCGAAAATCCTGTCCGTACGATCACCGCGCGTTTCTCTTCCTTCCAATGGCACTTTTTTTCTCATTCAAGAATACACATTGTCGAACAATTATTATCTCTTTAAACAGTTGGAAACGTTGTCGGGACAAGAGTACATAGTAAAAGTGAGAAAGACAGAAGACAAAAGATGAATAAGATAATGCTTGATGAAGTGCAACAAGATGCAACAAGATGCCTCGCGACTCATCGATGGCGGTCTTTTACGAAGACGTGAAATTTATCTCATTATCGCAAACTGAATTTTGAGAGAATTTTAATTAATCCGAAAGTGAATTCACAAACCGTTCAATGTCGCAAGAGAATAAGACTTAAAAAATTTAACTAAAATCTTGGGGAAGCTCAGTCAGTCAAGATTTCTTAAAACTTATTTCATAGTTATATAATATAAAGGAAACGCTTCAATCCTGACCCAAATTTTCGTCAACGAAGAAATATAAACGATGTGACAATCAGTAAATACGGAGCAATAGTAGCTCCACGGTCGAAAGACACACAACACGAAATGTTAGCTGGTATCGATCGTCACTGTTTATGTTTTCTCACTGAAGGCTGCCTGAGTTAGGATCGCTTTACAAGCGCTGAATAATAAATTCATTTTTCTCAACGTGTAACGGCCTACTGTTTCCTCCAATATTTCGTATGTTTCCAGAAAGGAGAGCTACATACTTAATATTATTTTTTCGAAAATCTATTATCTCTTAAAATCAATTATTATCTTTATTGTCCCTCTTGCTGAAAATATTCCATCTACAAAGGTAGAGTCTGTCAATTAAAAAAGAATTTGCAACTTTAATAACTACTTTTGATAACTCACTCTCTTCATTTTTGATCTAATATTCCTTTCCCACTGAATAAGGATAATTTTGCAACGTTGCGATTAGAACAAAACAAGTTTAATCAATTTAATTCTATAAAAAAAAAGTGTTTATTACAGTTGTAATTGTCGCGGAGCGTTGTTTCGCAACTGAAAGTTTGTTTCAAAGGAAATGCTAACGAAACGAGGCGGATGTAAAATCCATTCACGTGCGAACGGTGCCAGAGAGCTGCATCACCGGGGCAGAAATAATCATCCCGACGGTTAGCAGTGCGTCGAGCGTGCACGTTTTATTTATTTTTTTTATATTTTTTTTTCGAATAAATCGTGCCGTCGGAATACATCGGGACTTTCGCGCGAATGAAAGAGAATAAAAAGAAAGAGAACGAAAGAGGCAGGCGAAAAATGAGATACAATGAGAATGGCGAACGGTCGGAAACGATGTAGAGCGCGAAGATAGGGAACAGTGTAATTGTTATCGGTTTCTCTCTCTCGGCATTTTCTCTCTCGTGTGTGTGTGTGTGTGTGTGTATGTGTGTGTGTATGTGTGTGTGTGCAAGCCTGGCAAAATGTGTGTCAACTAACGTCAGCTGTTGCTTGAGGCCATTCCAGCTAAACGGGTCCACCAAGATGTTACGGACTTTAGTCAAAATCTGCGTTCATTTGTCTCTCGTCTTATAAATACTGCGCCGTATTCCGCTTCCGGTGCACGTGTGCGTAAGCGTCTCCGTTATTCGCTCGAATAAATTTTTACCGTCGAAAATAATTTCAATTTGTAAAAGGGCAAAACGGCTGATTAACTTTGCACGATTGCGATATTACGAATTTCGTGATATCTTTCCAACATTACGTATTTTTTATACAGTTGCGAGAAATGTTCCACCATCAATAAAATGCTAGATTTTAATGCTGGATTCTTTGGTGAATTTTAAATCGATCTCTTCTTGCAATAAATACATATTTTTGTGTCAAAAACTATTATTTAAAAAAATATCTTTTAGAGTAAGTAGAATATTAATGTATTTTAGCAATTTTAGACAATATTTACTAGAAAAGATACATTTACTCCAATTATCGTGAAAAATCCGTCAAAGAAATCTGTCAGTAAAATTTTATCAAATCGCGGCAAAACATTCTCCGCAAGCTCGCGTTCGTATCGATCCCCATCGATGATAGTCCGCTGATTGTCCGATTAATTAGGTCCATCCGATGTTTCGTCCGAGCAACATAATGAAAACGCGTCAACGCTCTGCGGGGGTTTGTTTTCCGATTAATGGCCGATTATCGAAACGACGATCGCGACATGATTGATTATTGCGTCATTGTCGTTCAGTTGCCGACGCGCTCTTCGATTTAATTAAAAACTCATTTGAGATTCATGTCTCGATTGGGATCCGCGATTCTCCGCGATCGCGGACGCACCGGAAGCGGAAGATAATCAATCGCGGACGTTTGTAAAATAGAGAAATAACTCACCTGCAACCTGTAGTTGGGATCCTGTGTCGCTGCGTGCGCTGCCAGGAAGGGGTCGTAATACACGCTGCAAAAAATAAAAATCACCAATGAATATGAACAATGTATTCGTTTACTCGCCGCTATGCCTACAAAATTGCCGAATTTCTAATCTTTCGCAATAATTTCCGTCTTTGTGAAGCATAATTAAAAATCGCGTGTTCAATCATTATTTGGATTTCGACAGCATTTAAAAATTTTGAAATTCATAAATTTAACGCACTTCAATGGAAAATATCTCTTTTAAATAGCACATTTTACCAAAATTTAGTAGTGCTTATTATGCGTCAAATATTTATAATGGCTTTCATATTTACTATAATTTTCGGACATTCGGTTAAAAGCTTCACATTCAAAGAACTTTTGATCTTTCGATTTAATAGCGCGGAACGCTCGTTTTAATAGGTATCGCGATATTAAGCATTGCGCTTGGTCGAGAATAAAATTGAAAATTTATTTCTGGAATATACTGGATAATCTCGCTTTGCAGGATAATGGAGGACGGTGAAGGGGGATAAACTTTGTTTTCCGCAATGAAGTTTGTTTTATGCGTGAGAATCATAAATTATGGTTCGCTTTAAAGTAGTGGAGAAAAAAAGCCCGTTGACTTTACAGAAAGCGAATTTGCGTTCAATCTTGATTACGCATTGCCGGGAATGGAAAAAGTTGCGAGACGAAGTATTACCGTTCGCGCGCGACGTATTACGGCGATTGCTTCGTAAAGTACAGACACGGTTTCGGAGGCGAATTTTCAATTTGTCAAACGTAATGAAAGTAAGTACATATAAACATTCACTCTGTCCCACTTCACTTAATATTGTCAGTATTGTTAATCGTGGTACTTTAATATTGTTCCTCGTAGTGTAATTCGTTATTTTGCACAAATCATTATTTTGCCGTCGTGAAATCGTATCGGAGGTTTCTAATGTGCGCACTGCTTTTGTTGTACAGCAGTGGACGAAATAAGGCGATTTCTCAAACGTTACGAAAATACATACAAATAATCAGAAAGTACGTACGAAGGTTTCGACAGGATGATACGTAAAATAAAAACCGAGGTTACGCGAACTGTTGCTCGCATATCGAGAACCATCGAAGCACATAAGCTGCGTGAAAACGATTACTTAATATCGAAAACAACGTTTAGTCTTCCGATTTAATAACGCAATCAAACTCGTTTAATAAGTTCATGTTTCGTAAAAGAAAAAATCTTGACTTCTCAAGACGCAAATTCGCGTTTTATTTAAATTGTGCACTGACAGAAATAAAAAATGTTGAGAGAGAAAATATCATTTATGCGCGATACGTTTGATAGTTTCGTGAAATATAGACGCAACATTAAAAACAAATTCAATATACATTGAAAATAAGAAAAATAAATACGTGTTGGACATTCGATCACAAGCTTCATACTCCATCTGATCCGTTAGTTCTTCCAACCTCATTTATCTTTGTCTTTTCGTTAAGTAAAACGGTAAATTTGGATGGTACGCCGGAAAATGATCCCAAAGTGTGTCGTGTAATTCAAATAACAGCCTCATATCTAGCAAAGGTTGATTGGGATACTTTCTTGCGTACATTCGTCTGGCCTCATAAATGTTGAATCTATTTTCCAATATCAAACTAATAACGTCGGAAAATAGTCCGTAATTCATATAAGTATAATAATGAGCAACTTCCATTTCAATTCGAAATATAAACTGTCGCGAAGTCGTATTAGAAATTTCCGACGCGCACTGCTCTTGTCTTGGCTGTAACTAACGAACTGACGCGACTTCTAGACGTTACAAGATATATACACACAACTAGCGTTACGAAGGACGATACACATTTGGTAGGATAACGCGCGATATACACAACGAGCGATCGCGCTAGCTCTCCGCGCGTACATCGAGAATTATTGAAAACTGTGTTACAAACTGTTACTTCACTTTCGTTTAATCTTCCGATATAATCGTTTAATCTCCCAATGTATCAGACTCGTTTAATATTTCTCGTATTAAATAATATTGTGTTCGGTTGAGAGAAAAACATTGGATATATATGTTTCTCGAATATGATAATCCCGCTTTATAAAATAATAATGGTCAATAGAGCCGATAAACAGCGCAGATTACGATTTGCTTTAAAAGAATGGAAAAAAACTCTGTTACCTTTGTAGAATGCGAATTCGTGTCCTACTTTCATTACACAATGTCGTAAATGGAAAAATATCTTGAAGATGAGGTATTTTCACTTGTACAATATTTCCACGTTGAGGCATCGTAAAACGTGGGCGCAATTTCTAAGGTGAATTTTTATTATGTCAAAAAAATATTCATTCGATGCGAATTAATTGAGTTTAATTTTTCAGACTTCCGAAGACCAAATGATTGATAAGCTTAATTAATAGTTGAAAGTAGGTACAGGAAAATTTAAAAAAGTATATGCAAAGTGAGCTAAAAAAGTCATTGTTTGAATCGTTACAGGTCGGTTATTGCAAAAACAATGTGGATAGGTTACTGTTGCACGAATCACGTTATTATTAAATTGGCGTAGCATTAAAAGCATGCAACTAATTTCGTCATATGTATAATGAAGACTCCTACTAAGATACATGTACTGACTATACAAATATGAATTTTGCGCCATCACTTTAAATATAAAATTATCGCAGAATAGTTTCGAAAATTTTGGACGCGCACTGCTTTCGCCACCGAAAGAAACTGAAGCGATTTCTAGATCATAACGATAATATATCCAGATAATCAGAATGTTTGTACATAGATTAGTACACATTCAATGACACGATACACGAGCTACAGAACGCGAGCAGCTACATTATAGCTTTCATGTGTACATTGAATCACGAAGCTGTATTAGAAATTGTAATTTCATATTTGAAGAATTTTAAATTTAATGATGCTTTAAACTTTGATACCTTGTGTATTAAACATTATCGTTTCCCGTCTAGAGTAACTTCTTTCGTTTTATCTTCTAATGTATCAGACTCGTTTAATATTTCTCGTATTAAATAATATTGTGTTCGGTTGAGAGAGAAACATTGGGTATATATGTTTCTCGAATATGATAATCCCGCTTTATAAAATAATAATGGTCAATAGAGCCGATAAACAGCGCAGATTACGATTTGCTTTAAAAGAGTGGAAAAAAACTCTGTTACCTTTGTAAAATGCGAATTCGTGTTCTACTTTCATTACACAATGTCGTAAATAGAAAAATATCTTGGAGATGAGGTATTTTCACTTGTACAATATTTCCACGTTGAGGCTGCATCGTAAAACGTGGGCGCAATTTCTGAGGTGAATTTTTATTATGTCAAAAAAATATTCATTCGATGCGACTTAATTGACTTTAATTTTTCAGACTTCCAAAGACCAAATGATTGATAAGCTTAATTATTCAACAGTAGGTAAAGGAAGATTTAAAGTAAAATGTAAATAATAAGCTAAAAAAACCATTTCTGAAACCGTTGGTGTATGTAGGTTATAAAAATAAATCGAATAGTTATTTATTGCATGATTCACGTAATTATTAGATCGGCGTAGCATAAAAAGCATGCAACTAATGTCTTCATATGTACAATTAAGAATCTCACTAAGACACATGTACTGACTATACCAATATGGATTTTGCGCCATCACTTTAAATATAAAATTATCGTAGAATAGTTTCGAAAATTTTGGATGCGCACTGCTTTCGCCACCGAAAGAAACTGAAGCGATTTCTAGATCATAACGACAATATATCCAGATAATCAGAATGTTTGTACATAGATTAGTACACATTCAATGACACGATACACGAGCTACAGAACGCGAGCAGCTACATTATAGCTTTCATGTGTACATTGAATCACGAAGCTGTATTAGAAATTGTAATTTCATATTTAAAGAATTTTAAATTTAATGATGCTTTAAACTTTGATACCTTGTGTATTAAACATTATCGTTTCCCGTCTAGAGTAACTTCTTTCGTTTTATCTTCTAATGTATCAGACTCGTTTAATATTTCTCGTATTAAATAATATTGTGTTCGGTTGAGAGAGAAACATTGGGTATATATGTTTCTCGAATATGATAATCCCGCTTTATAAAATAATAATGGTCAATAGAGCCGATAACCAGCGCAGATTACGATTTGCTTTAAAAGAGTGGAAAAAAACTCTGTTACCTTTGTAAAATGCGAATTCGTGTCCTAGTTTCATTACACAATGCCATAAATGGAAAGATATCTTGGAAATGAGGTATTTTCACTTGTACAATATTTCCACGTTGAGGCTGCATTGTAAAACGTGGGCGCAATTTCTGAGGTGAATTTGTCAATATGTCAAAAAATATTCATTCGATCCGATTTAATTTAATTTTATCTTCCACACTTCCGAAGACCAAATGGTTGATAAGCTTAATTATTCCAATCAATTAGGTACAGGAAAATGTGAAGTAATATTTAAATAGTAAGCTAAAAAAGCCATTTCTTGAAACGTTGGTATACGTTGGTTAGGAAAACAATCCGAATAGTTTCTTATTGCAAGATGCACGCAATTATTAGATGCTCGTAGCATCAAAAGCATGTTACAAATGTCGTTAAATGTACAACGAATAATCTCACTAAGATACACGGAATAATTACCCGAATTTCTTTGATTTTGCGCCATTACTTTAAATATAAAATTATCGCAGAATAGTTTCAAAAATTTTGGACGCGCACTGCTTTCGCCACCGAATGAAACTGAAGCGATTTCTAGATCATAACGACAATATATCCAGATAATCAGAATGTTTGTACATAGATTAGTACACATTCAATGACACGATACACGAGCTACGGAACGCGAGCAGTTACATTATAGCTTTCATGTGTACATTGAATCACGAAGCTGTATTAGAAATTGTAATTTTATATTTGAAAAATTTTAAATTTAATGATGCTTAAAACTTTAATACTTTGTGTATTAAACATTATCGTTTCCCGTCTAGAGTAACTTCTTTCGTTTTATCTTCTAATGCAGCGCTCGGAATTAGTTGC